TTTTTCCTGGTCAGTTAGCTAAGGTACTCGTGGATTCCTGGAGGGTTTCCCATGGCCCACCAAAGAGGCATAGCCTGGTGAGGCCTGTGCAGAGACCGAGAGGGAATGGTTGGTTGGTCTTTGGTGCCAGCTAGTTTTCACTGGATGCAAGAAAACCGGCAAAAGAGAGTGTGGTCTTTTACTGTTATATTAGCCACACTAAAGAAAGTGTTTATTTCCTGTGATTTTAGGTCAGTTTTCAAATTAAGAAGTGAGGTCAATTTTCAAAGTAGCAGACATTAAAAATGCCCATTGCATAAAATGCAGATCTAAAAATCCAATAATATCAGTGCAACTCTTCAAGACCAGGGAAGTGCATTTGGAGCAGAAAATAAATGAGTAAATTTCAATTTTTTTCCCTCCATTTCTTGTGTCGGCTATATGAATTGGCACAAGCCTTTCAGAGTCTTTGAAATGTAAATAAGACTATCGGTTTCCATAATTTAAGCTCATGTTCTTAAACGTGTATCATCTTTTATTTTTAGAAGGGAGTAATATGATGGGTACTGGATAAACTAATCTTCATCGTGGCTACGTAAAAAACAAAATTAGAACATGGACTTACATGAATATGGTAGGTTTGATTTTTAAAAAATTATTTCTTTATAAAAGCAATAGAAAACTTCATGTCAACGTTGTTTTAGAAATTCAGCGTTTAAATTTTCTGTATTTATTTGTATGTCTCGCAGATTTAATCATGTGTTGGTTTTTCTTTAGAATAAGTCTGTCATTTAATGTCTATAATTTAGTTGACAATTATATTTGACTACGGTTGGCAGTAGAAAAAGTCTTTTAATTTGAAAATCTCTATTAGAAATATTCATTTATTCCTTGGTTACATTTTTGCTCGGAGTGTCCTAGCAAACTTCTGCTTTCCCAAAGAAATTGTTTTCTTATTGAGATACTGTGTTTATTTTTATTTCATTTACTTGTGTTTTCTTTCTTTTTCTATTAATTTTAGGAAAAGGACAACTAAATAGGTGATGTACTTGGGTTGGAATTTACTATAGAACGAAGAATTTTTTTATTAGTCAATGATTTTTGTGCCTTCAGGGAATCTTACATATTTATTGCCTGAATGTATCTTCTTAAGCTTTTCTTTTGTAGTTTAGTAGCTCAATTATTATCAGATAATTAAATCTGTTAAAATTTGTTATTTCCTAGTTAAGGTATAATTTTTTTTTTGATAACTCTTTTTGTTCTTTTAAAACTTCTTCTAGAACTTTTGACTATGTTCTGGTCTTTTAAAATGTATTTTTGATTTTTCTAATGAGGCTGATTTTTGGTTTCACAGTCATAGGATTTCCTTTGAAAAAAATTATTTGGGAAAATATATACAGAAAACATAATTTTTTTTCGAGAATCACTTACCAGTTATAATTTAGTGCTTTTCTAACTTTAAAAAACTATAGTTGACATATAATATTATGTGAGTTTCAGGTGATTCAATAGTGATTCAACATTTATATACCTTATGAAGTGATCACCACAATAGTAACCATCTGTCACCATACATATTTATTACAGTATTATTAGCTATAATCCCTGTGCGCACATTATGTCTCCGTGACTTGTTTTATAACTGGAAGTTTGTACTTCTTAATCTCCCTCACCTTTTCTGCCCATCTGTCCACTCCCCTCCCCTCTGGCAACCATCAGTTTGTTCTCTGTATCTATGAGTTTGTTTCTGTTTTGTCTTATTTACTTGTTTTGTTAAGATTTCACACATAAACGAAATTCATATGGTGTTTGTCTTTCTCTATCTGACTTATTTCACTTAGCATACTACCCTCTAGGTCCAACCATGTTGTTGCAGATGGCAAGATTTCATTCCTTTTTGTGGCTGAGTGATATTCCATTGTATATATGTACTACTTCTTTATCCATTCATTTATCGATAGACACCCAGGTTGCGTCCATATCTTAGCTATTGTAAATAATGCTGCAATGAACATAGGAGTGTATATATCTTTTTGAATTAATGTTTTGGATTTCTTCAGTTAAATGCCCATAAGTGGAATTGTTGGGTCAAACCTCCAGACTGTTTTCCGTAGGGGCTACACCAATTTACAATTCCACCAACAGTGCACGAGGGTTCCCTTCTCTCCACATCCTCGCCAACGCTTGTTTGTGGATTTATTAACGATAGCCATTTAACATGTGTGATATCTCATTGTGGTTTTAATTTGCATTTCTCTGATGATTGGTGAAATTGAGCATCTTTGTGCTTTTGGCCATCTGTGTGTCCTCTTTGGAGAAATGTCTATTCAGGTCCTCTGTCCATTTTTTAATTGGATTTTTTGTTTGTTTGTTTTGGTGGTGTTGTATGAATTCCTTATATATTTTGGATATTAACCCCATCGGATGTCTCATTGGTGGATATCTTCTCCCATTTTTCTTTTGTTGATGGTTTCCTTTGCTGTGCAAAAACTTTTTAGTTTGTTGTAGTCCCATTTGTTTATTTTTTCTTTTGTTGCTCTTGCCTGAGGAGACATATCCAAAAGATATTTCTAAGAGTGATGTCAAAGAGTTTACTGCCTATGTTTTCTTCTGAGAGTTTTATGGTTTAGGGTTTTACATTGAAGCCTTTAATTCATTCTGAGTTTATTTTTGTATATGGTGTATGAGAGAGGTCCAATTTCATTCCTTTGCATATGAATATCTGGCTTTCCCAACACATTTATTGAAGAGACTGTCTCCCCACTGTATATTCTTTCCTCTTTTGTCATAGATGAATTGATTACAGGTTCATTTATTAAACATAATTTATACACCTGAGACAGAATTTGAGAGAGAAGCAGTTTAAAAGGTTTAGCTCTTTCTTTCACTGGTATGAGAATAAATGGGGTTTATTGCATTTTATGGGCTAGTGAGAGCATAAACCTCTTTAGTCTTTATTGTCTACATTATATAAAATTGTGTTGTTGATTGCATTTAGAATGTGATGTGACAATTAGATCACGTGGTATAAAGATGTCAGTGATATCAACCTCGCAGCACCAGCCTTCGTCTTCCCTCTTGATTACTGGTTTCCTCAGTTTTTCTCATTGGCTTTTGGGGGTGCGGGGACTGAGAGCTGCTCTGTTTGCCTATGGGGTCCTGGGCTTGCCTAACCCTGGCCTGCTTGCTCGTCTGCCCTGTCAGCACCTGTAGAAATGCCTGGAAGTCAACAGTGCAGCCTCTGAAAAGCAAGCTCCTCTAGAAGCTCCACTTTGAAGACTGTCTTTCCTCTGGGAACACCAGCATCAGAATCTCCTGCTCTTTTGGTAGAGGCATCAACCCTGCAGGGGCTTGGCCATCTGAGCTAAGATCCCTGGCCTCTGGCCGTCCCTCAGAGAACTGTCTGTATATTTTTATTGCCTTTTATTACCTCACTGGTAAAAAATTGCTTACAGAGTTTAATAATTGGCATTTGGTATTTCGAGACCTTCCTGTATTGTATTTCAAATATCTTGCTTTTAGTATTTTATTTTTCTTTTTAAAAATTCCTTTCAAATAATTATAATAATTACCTTTTGAGACTTTGAATCCTCATTCGAACTGGTTTTTAGATCACATCAGTGCATATGGTCGAAAGAAATTGTTTTAACACTATTACGACAACATTAAAAGACTAGCAGAAGTTGTCACGAAAGCACCCACGATCTCACTGTCCAATGTGATCACCTTCCATTTGTTTATATTTCCTTTCAGGTTGCTCATGAGTGTACGCAGGCACTTCTTAGCTCTGCTACTTACAAGCTGGGTGCTAGGGAAGTTGTAGAACCACTCTGAATGTTTTCCATTTTGAAAAAGCATAATAAGAGATATGTGCCTTATGGAGCAGCTGTGAAGGTTTGTTTCATGACCTACTGTATGTAAACTTCTGACCATGATTCCTAGCATGTGTGGGCGCTTGACACGTATTATTTTCCTTCCTGCCTCCCTTCACCCTCAGAAACTCCTGCTATCCCCCAAAGAACAGCGGGCTCCTGGGGAACTCACTGCTCCCCCACCCACAAGGATATGGCCCTGGTAACTATGCAGCAGACCCAGCGTGTTCTCAAGCACCAGCCACGTAAGCGGCAGCTCCAGGCACTAAGTAGGGTCAGCACATCTGTTGCCTAGGAATTGTCTGACTCCCACCCATCGTCTGTATTCCCAGAGCCAGCCCATTCTGGTCCCTGCCTCCATTTTTATAGGCAGCAGTCTTGGTTGTCTTTCTGGAGCGCAAGCCTCCTGCTCTTTGTAGCTATTGTGACATGGGTCAGGCCATTCTCTCCTACTGTTTAATCAAGGCTCTTCTTTTCCATAATGGTGTCTGTGGTAAATCCAGCCTGCTCTGCTTTTTCACTTGAATAATTGTCCCAAAAACAGATTCTTCACCTTGCTACTATTTGGTACATTATTGCTTGCTGTCTTTTTAATTATTAGAAAAATGTTATAGCAACACTAAGATATTTCTTCTTGTAGGAGAAAAAGACACTGTTCATAACTGTTAATCAACGAGACTCATTTCAAGTTTGTGTATTTCCTTCTAGTCTTTTTCCATTTGTATATCTATTTTTGTCATCATATCTTCTTTTTTCACTTATGCATGTAATTATGAGGTTCTAAATGTTTTAAATCCCCCGGGAGATAGTGGGGGTGTTTTTAGGATCAAATGGTAATTGCCTTTGAACTTGAATGTGTTCAAAAGCAAGTACAAAAGCATTAGAGACATAAAAGAGCATAATGTATTCAGGGAACAGTGAAAAGGACAGTCTTTCTGAGGCATGGGTTCTACGTGGGCAGGAATAGGAGAAGATGATGCCAAACAGGTAATTTGGGCCAAACAGGTTGAGAAAGGTCAGGAACATCACTTGAAGGAATGTGATTTCATCTTAGAAGGAGTGCTTGCAGAGGATTTTATTTTTATTTTATTTTTTAATTATTTATTTTTTAGTGTATAAGCTATCTGTTATCAGACAAAGCCTACAGATTTATTTCTTCTTGGGTACACCCACAGTGCGGCCTCGGTGGCTAGTGGTCATGGTGTGCTGGCCTCGAACACAAAGTCTCCAGAAATGGCACAACCCTCTGTGGGCCCAAATTTTCTTCGCTCCAAGTCTTCATGGAGCTTGTTGTCCAGACCATTGGCCAGGACCTGACTGTATTTCCCATCCTTCATGTCCTTCTGTCTAAGAACAAGTCTGGGATCTTGTACTGGCATGGATTTTGCATAATGGTGATTCCACGTTCCACCTCATCCTCAGTGAGCTCTCCTGCCCTCTTGGTGAGGTTGATGTCTGCTTTCCTCAACACCACGTGAGCATATCTTCGCCCCATATCCTTAATTGCAGTGATGGCAAAGGCTATTTTCCACTGCCCGTTGATATTGGTGTTGAGTACTCGCAAAATGTGCTGGAACTTCTCAGGGATCAGTAGAGACATGGCGGTAGCTCCAGCAGCGGTGTGTAGGCTTCTAGTGGAAAAAAAAGAGAGAATTTTAAAAAGAAGCCTGTCATGCCTAGGTTTGCATTTCAGAACAGCCATCTCGGCGTAGACAATGGAACGATAGAGCAAGACATTGGAGATGGCAGGAAGACCAGTTATGAGACAAGTTGCAGTAATCCAGCAGAAGGCCATGGCAGTGGGGATGCATCCCTGCAAAGCGATGGGAGTTCAAGGGTTTTGAAGCCCTGCCGTAGGGCCTCCTGGTGCCATGGGCCAAAGGTCTGAAGGATTCCATCTAAGTCTCATGCTCTCTTAAAGAGCACACATCTCCCATAAAGCCCCTCTCATTCATCCAGCATCCACCCCCAGCTGGCTGTACGCTTCCTACAGTAAAGCTAATCATTTGACTTTGTACTCAGGGCTTTCATTCTCAAATTGTTTTGAACATTCGTGGGGTAAATATGTACGGAGCAGGCAGAGAGCTGGGCTGGAGGGCATTGGATCTGGGAGTGTTCAACATATACCGAGAGGCAAATCAAGCCAGTTCCTTGCTGCTGAGAGAATGTCCCACTGCCACCATGCCCAGCATGTGGAGGCTCATTGGAATCTGCTTTAACTTTTCTTCCTAATGAAACGACTTTCTCCTCAAGAGCAGAGATGTGTCTACTCCTTTTTGTAGCTCCCACGGAGTGAAGCATTCAGCTAGACACGTACTAGATGCTCTGCAGGCATCAGACTTGGAGCAGAGGAGACTTCGAACACTGTTGGATCTCTTCCCATCCATCTTCTCTTCCTGCAATGCTGCCAACTCCAGCCTTCCCTGAGGAGGCTCAGGGTAAGTAGGAATGGTTTAGGTCTTTTGGGAGTCTGTGATATTCACAGATGTGCCCTCAGACTTCTCCTAGGAGGATGATGAGTAGGTGAACCCCACTCAGAGGGGTTAAGGACAAGATGCCATTAAGGACAAGATGCCAGTGAAGTGCCAGACCCTGGCCTCCCAGGATAAGAACAGCATTCCTTCCCATAGACCCTCTGAACTCGGACCGGAGAGCCAGCGGTCAGATT